ACCTGATATTGTTTGATTGAGTTGGATCACTATTGTGTCATATATATAAAAAAGTTTTATGTCCACTTCAGAAATACCAGCAACGTACATTTACATCTCCTGAAAGGGTTAACCATACTTACTCTAACTATTTATCACCATTAGAACACTCTGGTAGATGCTACTACTAATTGTGAATTGTCTAGATATTAGGATCAGTCAGATGTATGCACCTACACATTAAACATCTATTTATTTTAGTTCTGTACTTGTACTCTATTGATGTATAATATTACCAATATGTATATATATATATATATATATTTGAGATCTACTATTGATTGCTTATTGAATATTTTTAAGCTGAATATTTGTATCACGATTGAAGAATTTTTATTAGTGAATCAAATGATTTTTATTAGCCATTTAAAACATCTGTATATAAGGATAGACTGAAGCACCAGACCAATACATGTCTCTGAAGAAGTAGGGCTCCACCTACGAAACGCGTTAGACGAACAAGGCAGGATACAGACTGATTGAACCAGCAGTAAGATCACTCTGCATTCAGATCCCTTGGAGAATACGTCTACCGAAATTGTCTGCTCTGTCCGTCCCCTGGAGTGAGGTCTCGATGGGGCGCACATCCAGACGCACGCCGTCCTCACCGGCAGCTGCATTCAGGAGACGAATTGGCAAAACTCAATCCACATCCATCCTAAGCCAGTCTGAGGGTTCATAACATCTGTTGACTTTCATAAGACTGGTAACACTATCACCTACTGTTCCTGACCTGTATTTTTTGGTTTCTATACATATTGAATTAATTTTTATTGTTATTTATAATAAACTGGTTTTTTACTTCATCCAGTTTTTTTATCCTACTTCAGTCTATAACAATTGATTTACTGCCTCAAGTAGACAGTCCTAGATACTTTGTTGCTCTCTTGTTATTATTTTTTGCAACATTGTTATTCTTATTGATATCCAGTTCATCATCTAGTGGAAGTGCTATTTACCGTGCACATCCAAATATATATATATATATATATATATATATATATATCTTTTTATTCATCTTTTTTATACATATTGTCTCCATTTTTATGGGTACATCTTACTGCATCTTAATTTATATTTTGACACAGATTCACCGTTTTTTTTATGTCACTTAGTGTCCTAACTTTCACTTCTGTTTTGTTTTACAATTCTTAAAGGCACAGTACCCAGCTTTTTACACATTTGATTTTTTTACACATTTTTTTACACATTCTTTTGATAGATACACGCATTGAAAGTTTTTGTATATCACTTATTTTAAATACTAGTTATTTCATTTGATTTTAAGCTATTTCCACAAGTCAGCTCCTGGCACCCACGCACTATCCTCTAGAGTGCTTTTCATAACATTTTCTCTTAGTTTATGTCTCAGCCATTACTTTATAGACATTTGATAGCAATATTTGTGTGTTGATTTGCTACTGTAAGGGATGGTCTGTGCATAGTTAGTATTTGGGCTGGAGGCAGGGCCAGATTAACAGCCCAGTGGGCCTGGTGCTGACAGTTATGATGGGCCTAATTATCTTATCGACCAAAAACACTAAAACACTCCCAAGCATCATGTATCTAATGGAGATGGCGCCGGAGAGAGAGAAAACAGCAGCTATAAGAAAACACATCTATGCTAATCTCTCTCTAATTTATGTTTTCATCTTTTAAGTAAATCCATAACCATAGTTTCCAGTGAAGCAGGAAGTCAACTGGTGTGGTAAAAGGGTGGGCCACTGACGCAAATCACGTAACCTGCCAAAAGGGGCAAACATTCTTAAAAAGGGGGCATGTTTGTCCAAAGAATTGGAAGGCCAGCCTGGCATGAATGCATGTCAGGCTGCCTGCCAATCATGCAGCTGGACAACTAAGGGCATACTATGCAGACAGCACCCTGAGCTTGGCATAAATGCGTGAAATGATTCGCTCGCTCAACGCTTTCTAAGGACTGTCCCCTAGCACTCACATGTCCACTTGTCTCCTTACCGTCTTACTAGCAGGCAGAAGCTCCCGGTATATAGTCTGAGACAGAGAAAAGGTGGATGTAGTGAGTGTAGAAGAAAGGGAACATGTCACAGTGTTAGAGAGACCAAAGTCAGCATTACCTTAACTAATTTTGTCAGCCAGTCCACACAAGTTTTGTTCCTATACATCCATCTTATGTTTCCATACTTAAGCAAGAGTATGTGAAAAGTAGTTAGGGTTGCCATCTTACTTGGAAAAACATACCGGCCGAACTAATTTGCATACTTAATTATGTTTGGGTGACCTCACATAATGTAAATCACAAGGAGTGACATAAGAGAAAATGCTGTAAAATCACCAAAAAACTACTTACAGTTTGATTCTGCTGTATAGATGGATTGCTCCCAGTGTCTCAAGTTTCCCATTGTTCCAATGTCTCCCAGTGTCTGTGTCCCCATGTGTCGATTAACCCAGGTCTCATTGCCCCATGTCTCCCAGTGTCCCCTACTGTCGTGTCTCCTAGTCTCCCAGTGACCCTATGAATCAGTGTCCCTATGTATCACAGTGTCTCAATGTGTCCATGTCCCCATGTCTCCCAAGGTCCCATTGTCACTGGAACATGAGGAGACCTGGGGACACTGGGAGACTATGGGAAACTGGCTGGGACACTGGGGAAATAGGGGACACAGACACTAGAGACACTGGCTGGGGGACATGGGGACACAGACACCAGGGACACTGGGAGACTAGGGGACACTGGGACACCAGGGAAACTGGCTGGGAGACATGTGTCTGTGTCATAATGTCTCCCAATGTCCCTTAGTATCTCAGTGTCCCCAAGTGTCTGTCATGATGTCTCCCAATGTCCCTTAGTGTCTCGATGTCCCCATGTCTCCTTGCAGCCTTTCCCCTCCGTCCCTCACTTCCCTGAGCTGTAGGCTGTCTCTGCAGGGTGGGTGTTGCTGTCTTGACTCTCTGTAACTGCTCCCCTGCGAATCAGTGAATAGAGATACTGTAGGCAGGGAGGGATATGCTGGAACGTCCTATCCCTGCCTCTCTCCACACACAGCGACCCCTACTGGCTAGTGCTGGTATTGCATCGTAATCTCTGTTTATACTGAAAAAAATACCAGCATTTGTATTGACAGTATGACTGCAATATTGGCACCGCCCAGGCAGCATCAAATACTGGCTGTGCCAATAAAATAAAAGCCAGGTGGAAACCCTAAGAGTAGTGCGTAAAAAAATGTTTACAATTATTTTTTCTATTTAAAATCAATGGGCCTGGAGCTGCAGCTCCATCAGCCCCTATGTTAATCCGGCCCTAGCTGGAGGGAGGGCCAGATCATTAGGGCTTGCTATCCTGCCCAAAAGGTGTTAAAGCCCTCCTTTTTGAAGGACAGCAAAGCACTCCCTTACGTCAGGAACATTTGTGGACGTCTGGCACACGCTAGAGCAAATATTGTACCAACCTGCCCCAATACAGAAGGGCGAGTACTCACTCAGAGAACGCTCTCATCAGGATACCGCTGTCCCAGCAACTCACCAGGCCCCAGGCGGGCAGTGGAGAGGGCAGAGCACATTACTCCTGACCATAGAGAAGCAGAGCCAATCGTTCTGGATGTCAGGATGTCTCCTGGACCCCTGCAGTGCTCTCCCTTGTGGTGGGACTATGCTCTGCCCATGAAGGGCATAGGGTGACCAGACTTGGTTGGACTGTCCACAGATCAGGTTTACCTACCTGCACCTGTTTTTCTAGAGCTCATAATGGGATTTATCAGACCACCTATTTCACAAAATACTAAGCAATGTACTGATAATGCTCTTGTGCTCTGCGTGTCCTCGCACCACACATTTCCCTTATTAATTTACCGCTATGGGGGCCATTAACCCTCCTGCAACTAACATTAATTTTGGCAAAATGCAGTCAGGCAGGTAACGTTGTCCTGGCATCCACCAAACCCAGACTCGCCCGTTAGACTGCCAAACAGAGAAGTGTGATTTGCCATTCCATAACATGTTATAACTACTCCAGTGGCCATTGGCGGCATGCTTTGCACCACTTAATCCAATGCTTGGCATTGTACTTGGTGATGTAAGGCTTGCATACACCTGCTCAGCCATGGAAATCCATTCCATGAAGCTCCCGACGCACAGTTTTTATGCTGATATTAATGCCAGTGCATGTTTGAAAGTCTTCAGCTATGGAATCAGCAGAGTGTTGGCAACTTTTACGTACCATGCGCCTCAGCACTCCGTGACCCTGCTCTGTAACTTTAAGTGGTCTTCTGCTTTCAGGCTGAGTTGCAGCTTTTGCTATACAGTTCCACTTTACAATAATGTCACTTATAGTTGACTGTGGAATATCTGCCAGGGATGACATTTAACAAACCGAGTTATTGAAAAAGTAGCATTCTATCACAGTACCATGCTTGAATTTACTGACCACTTCAGAATGACGATTTTTCCCACAATTGTTCGTAAATGCAGACTGCATGGCTAGATGCTAGAGTTCATACACCTTTGACAATAGGTTTGATTGAAATACCTGGATTCAATGATTAAGAGGTGTCTGGAGATAATTTTGGGTTAATCTGAGTTATACAGGGAAAAAAAACAAAAAAACGGGTAAGATTTGTTTGATTTAAATTACTGACCTCATTAAAATAGCAGACTTAGTTCAGTGTAATAGTTGTTATGCATTTGTTTCACGTTCCACATTTTGGAGATTTGAATGCTGTCTAATCTGTAGACAGTTCTCTAATACAGCGGCAGAAGATTGTAGTTTTGAAGTTTGAGATTTGTAAATTATCCGTTAAACAAACTCAGGCTGGAACTGTTGCAAAGCCACTGGAACTGTTGCAAAGACAGTGCCACAGAGACATGCTAGGAATAGCAGATGGATTACTGTAGGATCTGGTAGACTTAGAGTTGTGGATAAAAGGCATATTGCACAGTCTGATGCTCTACATAATTCATTTTCAGCCCTTTCAGAGTGTAGTGGTGTTATGGAGTCAAGCTCAGGCATCGAGCGTAGTGGTGTTATGGAGTCAAGCTCAGACACCGAGCGTAGTGGTGTTATGGAGACAAGCTCAGGCACCGAGCGTAGTGGTGTTATGGAGTCAAGCTCAGACACCGATCGTAGTGGTGTTATGGAGACAAGCTCAGGCACCGAGCGTAGTGGTGTTATGGAGACAAGCTCAGGCACCAAGCGTAGTGGTGTTGTGGAGACAGGCTCAGTCACTGAGTGTAGTGGTGTTGTGGAGACAGGCTCAGGCCCTTTGATTCATTTAACCAACCGTTAACAGGAGTAGTCCCAGAAGATTGGAAGTTGGCGAATATTGTGCCCATTTACAAGAAAGGTAGTAGGGAGGAGTCGGGCAACTATAGGCCAGTAAGCCTTACTTCAGTAGTGGGGAAAGTGATGGAAACCATGTTAAAGGATAGGATTGTTGAACATCTAAAATCACATGGATTTCAAGATCAGAGACAACATGGGTTTCCTTCAGTGAGATCATGCCAAACAAATCTTATTGATTGGGTAACTAAAATAATAGATTGGGGTGGTGGAGTAGACATTGCTTACCTGGATTTCAGTAAGGCGTTTGACACTGTTGCACATAGAAGACATCAATAAACTGCAATCAGTAACTGAGTGACAGGCAACAGAGGATTGTAGTCAATAGAGTATATTCAAAGCAAGGTCTAGTTACCAGTGGGGTACCTCAGGGATCTGTACTTGGACCCATTCTCTTTAATATTTTTATTAGTGATATTGCAAAAGGTCTTGATGGTAAGGTATGTCTTTTTGCTGGTGATACTAAAATATGTAACCGGATCAATGCTCCAAGAGGGATAAGCCAAATGGCAAATGATATAGGCAAACTAAAAAAATGGTCAGAGCTGTGGCAGCTGAAATTTAATGTGGATAAGTACAAGATAATGCATTTTGGACTTAAAAACCCAAGGGCAGAGTATAGAATATTTGATAGAGTCCTAACCTCAACATCTGAGGAAAGGGATTTAGGGGTAATTATTCCAGATGACTAAAAAGGTAGGCAGACAATGTAATAGAGCAGCAGGAAATGGTAGCAGAATGCTTTGTGGTATAGGGAGAGGTATTAACAATAGAAAGAGAGAAGTGCTCATGCCATTGTACACAACACTGGTGAGACCTCACTTGGCATATTGTTCGCAGTACTGGAGACCATATTTCCAGAAGGATATTGATACTTTGGAGAGAGTTTAGAGAAGGGCTACAAAGCTAGTTAATGGATTGCAGGATAAAACTTACCAGGAAAGGTTAAAGGATTTTAACATGTATAGCTTGGAGGAATGATGAGACAGGAGGATATGATAGAAACATTTAAATACATAAAAGGGAATCAGCACAGCAAAGGAGGAAACTATATTTAAAAGAAGAAAACCTACCACAACAAGAGGACATAGTCTTAAATTAGAGGGGCAAAGGTTTAAATAATATCAGGCAGTATTACTTTACTGAGAGGGTAGTGGATGCATGGAATAGCCTTCCAGCTGAAGTGGTAGCGGTTACACACCGTGAAGGAGTTTAAGAATGTGTGGAATAGGCATAAGGCTATCCTAGCTAGGGAGCGACTGATATTGTTTTTTGTTTTTTTTTAGAGCCGATACTGATAATCTGTTAATTTTAAGGCCGATAACTTGCCGATATTCTGTGCATTTACCATTTTAAAAAAATAAACGATTCCTAAATGTAAATGCACAAAATATACAAGCCACATGCACTGGATGCAGTGTGTTTAGACAGTGGAGCTGTGTGTTTGTGTAGTGAATGCAGTGTGTGTATATAATGTAGTGTGTGTATAATATATACACACACACACACTACACAATCTGCATTATATACAGAGTGTGCAGAGTGTTTGCTTTCCTGAAGGGATGTGATTTGTGTAAAATGGGGGGGGGGGAGGAATGCATTTATTTTAATTTGTTTTAATTTTTAATATTTATTTTTAAATATTTGTTTTATTATTTTTTGTTGTCCCCCCTCCCTGCTTGTTGCCTGGCCAGAGAGGGGGGATATGTCATTCCCTGGTGGTCCAGTGGCATTGGCTGAGCAGTGGGGGGGCCCGCAGGTAACGTTTACTTACCTTTCCTGCAGCTCCTCCAGCTCCCAGTGCAAATCTTGTGGTCTGTTTGCCGCGCGGAGCGTTGCCATAGTAACCCGTGGCAACGCTCTGACGGCCACGGGTCTTGCGAGATTTACACTGGGAGCAGCAGGAAAGGTAAGTAAACGCTACCTGCGGGCCCCTCCAGGACCGCCGGGCTTGTAATGAGCCTGGCGGTCCTATTATGCATTAGCGGCAACATCGATACCTTTATTGGCTGATACCGATATTGCCAAAAATACAGAATATCGACCGATTATATCGATAAAACCGATAATCGGTCGATCCCTTATCCTAGCTATAACAGAATCAACATTTTCCATATGAATTAAAGGGACTCTCCAGGCAAACAATTTTACTAACCTGGTTCCAGCGCCGGGAGCCTCTTGAAGCCGCGCCCCCTATTTCGTTAAAATGACGAAATAGGCGGGCGCGAGCAGGGAGCAATCAGACGCTTCCATTTGGAAGCGTCATTGCTCCCTTGTGCGCATGCGCGGCTTTGCCGCACATGCGCACATACTTCAGAAGGCGGCATTCATGCCGCCCTCTGAAGTCCTGAGCGCACTACCGCGCATGTGCCCGGCCGTGAGCTGACAGCTCAGCTTGCGGTCTTTGCTCGCCCCCTCTCCTGACAGGCAGGAGAGAGGAGGCGCGCACACAGTGCCTTCTCTCTCCTGCACACGTCAGACGTATTTTGATACGTCTGACGTGTACAAGGCCTTTTTAGGGCCTGCATGATAGGAAGTCCCTCTGGTGGCCGTCTGAGATTAGATTGCCTGCAGGGAGCTAAAGATCATACCTGAACAACTACAGTAAGCTGTAGGGGGACAAAACTTTTTTAGATACATAAATGAGAAAAGAAAAGTAAAACAAGGATTAGTTAGATTAAAAACAAAAGGAGGAAGGTATGTAGAAGAGGATAAAGGTCTAGCTGACTGCCTCAATGAATATTTTTGTTCTGTATTTACAGATGAAAATGAAGGAAAGGGACCTCAGTTGAGAAAAAGGATAAATGAGTCATTTATTACAAGTGAGTTTACAGAGGAAGAGGTTCTATTTCAACTGTCAAAAGTAAAGACAAATAAGTCAATGGGACCTGATGGAATACACCCAAAGCTATTAAAAGAGCTTAGTGGTGTACTAGCAAAACCATTAAGAGATTTATTTAACCAATCGTTGTTAACAGGAGTAGTCCCAGAAGATTGGAAGTTAGCGAATGTTGTGACCATTCACAAGAATAGGGAGGAGTCAGGCAACTATAGGCCAGTAAGCCTTACTTCAGTAGTGGGGAAAGTGATGGAAACCATGTTAAAGGATAGGATTGTTTAACATCTAAAAACACATGGATTTCAAGATCAGAGACACGGGTTTACTTCAGGGAGATCATGTCAAACTAATCTTATTGATTGGGTAACTAAAATTATAGATCAGGGTGGTGCAGTAGACATTGCTTACCTAGATTTCAGTAAGGCTTTTGACACTGATGCACATAGAAGGCTTATCAATAAACTGCAATCTTTAAGTTTGGATTCCAATATTGTTGAATGGGTAAGGCAGTGGCTAAGTGACAGGCAACAGCGGGTTGTAGTCAATGGAATATATTCGAAGCTTGGACCCAGTGGCGAAACCAACCTCGCCACTGTACACTGGAGAACAGGGCCGGACTGGCCCACCGGGATACCGGGAAATTTCCCGGTGGGCCGTCGGCACCTGGGGCCGGGCAGGCAGCTGGCTCCCCTTCGGCCGCAGAGAGCGCTCTTCTGGCGGCCGCAGGGGGAGCTGGCTGTTCTGCCTCTGTTCCCCTGCCCTCGCGCGCTAGAAAGAGACCGGGGCCGGAATATGACGTCATATTCCGGCCCCGGTCTCATTAAGCAGTGCGCTGGGGAGGGAGAGCAGAGGCAGAACAGCCAGCTCCCCCTGCGGCCGCCAGAAGACTCAGCTCCCCAATGCGGCCGCCAGCACAAAGGTAGAAATTATGTGTGTCAGTGTGAGTGTATGTGTGTCTGTGTCATGGTGTGTGTGTCTGTCTGTGTCATTGTGTGTGTCTGTCTGTGTCATTGTGTGTGTGTGTCTCTGTCTGTCATTGTGTGTGTCTGTTCGTGTCATTGTGTGTGTGTGTGTCTCTGTCTGTGTCATTGTGTGTGTGTGTCTGTCTGTGTCATGGTGTGTGTGTCTGTGTCACGGTCTGTCTGTGTCATGGTGTGTGTGTGTTTGTCATGGTGTGTGTCTGTGTCACTGTGTGTGTCTGTGTCATGGGCTCTCTGTGTCGTGGTGCCTGTGTGTCATGGTGTGTGTGTCCGTCTGTGTCATGTAATGTGTGTCTGTGTCACAGTGTGTTGTTTTGTCACAGTCTGTCTGTGTTATGGTGTGTTTCTGTCATGGTATGTGTGTGTGTCTGTCATGGTGTGTGTGTGTCTGTGTCACGATGTGTTTGTCTGTGTCACGGTGTGTGTCTGTCATGGTATGTGTGTTTTTACTCACCTTTTCCCCCCACGTCGTGCTGGTCTCTCCTCGACTGGCCCTGTCTCAATGGCTGAGATAATCAAGCTTGATGATCTCAGCCAATCTGCACTGACACAGGAAGCACCTCTAGTGACCGTCTGAGTGTCTGTCACTAGGAAGCAATGTAAACACTGCCTTTTCTCTAAAAAGTCAGTGTTTACATTGAAAAGTCTGCAGGGACAGGCTATAGACACCAGAACCACTACATTAAGCTGTGTGTGTGTGTGTGCGTGCGCGCGTTTGTGCGTGCCTGCTACTGAGTGAGCTTGTGTTTTTATGTCAATGACCTTATGTATATCAGTGAGATTGTTTGTTTATGAGGCTGTGTATCAATCATCTTGTGTCAGTGAGATTGTCTGTGTCTGCATGTGAGTATGCTTACTGTATAATTAAAAAAATTTCTCTGAAAGGACCAATATTTTATGTTGGAAAAAGCAATATATATATATATCAATCATCTAGGGTGGTAAGACATAGCCTTACATATTACATGCGACAATATATGGCGCAATGACTTATGGGGCTGGCAAAGATTTTTTTTCCAGGGCTGCTTTGGAATCCCCAGTCCGGCCCTGCTGGAGAAGCCTGGTTGCTTGTCTGCTCCCTTTAGACTGTGGTCCTGCATTTTAAACTTTTATTTTACCGGCAGAAAG